GCAGGTGTGACATCTTGAACATGTCTCTTGCAGTGTGACCTGCACTCTCCAACAACTAACCCAAGTGAAACCTAACCAAAAACCAAAACCAACACCAAAACCCAAAATGGTAGTGGTCACAGTCACAGTCACATCTGATTTGTTTGGAGTTTTCATGTTTTCTGATGTTTTTGGTGATTTTCCTCCTAATAACATAACCACCTGCATCAAGAGCAACAGCTGCCTGAAAAGCAGCTCCAACATGGGTCGCTCAATCCAAATAGGAGGTCGACGTTCCATGGTGGGAAGCGCGTCTGAGCATGGTGGGGTCCACATCAACACTCTATCACATCAACAACACAAAGGCGGCAACGAGAACTTGAATTTGGGGGAGTCGGAAGTCGGGGAACGGAAGTCGGGGCTCGGATCGGAGATAACGAATGACAAACGGCGATAACGGCGACAGAGATAACGATAATAGCAACGGCGATAACAGCAAACAGCGGGTGGGTGGATTCTCTTCCTCTTTCTAGCTACAATATGCTGCTAATTTATAGCTCTAGGCGCACTGCCCTCCGGCGCGTCGAGCACCCTATCTCGCCTGTGCCCACAGCACGCACAGCGCGCACAGCGCGCACAGCGCTCTCTCTAACCTGTTTCGCCCTCCTGCTTACGCGACGCTTATTACGCGCTTGGCCCGCTAGTGCCGCACGTCCGGGCTATGTCCCAACGCGTTTCGACGCGGCTATGCCGGTGTTATGGGCTCCGGGTGGCCTCTCGCGTCCTCTGCTGTTGTTTGTTGCGTCCTAGACGCGTCCCAAGGGCCCCAATAGCTCTCGCTGGCTTGTACGCCGTTCGGACGCGGAACGGAGCTCGGTTCGGTCATCGGACCGGCCTGTCATCCCGATTGGGAAACACCGCCCGGCCCGGCTGTGCGACTGCGCCTGCCAGCGAAATTCGCTCAGGCCCGATCGTTGAGGCTGTGGCCGGGCTGTGTAGCCCGATTCTGCTATCCCAGCTCGTGCGGCTGCGCCCTCATCATGGTTGTTGGAGCGGAGCGGCGGGTGTTGTTCGGCGCTCGATGGGGACGCCGATGACGACCCGGAACCGATCCTCTCGGTCGAAACATGGCCTGTGAGCCATTTGCAGTAGATTCCGCTGGTGCGCGAATCCAGCGCGCGTCACCACCACAAGCCTCTTGGAGCTCGCCAACACTGTTGGCTCTTGTCCAAGCTACTCCCGGGACCCCGCGCACACAACGCCAAGATCAAAGTCCGGCGGGAACCGCGGTCGACGCCGGTCGTTGCTAGGTGTTGCTAGGACTTCCTAGGCCCCTTATTGGAGGCCTTCAAGGCGGCGCTGCGACTTACAAAGGCCGGCAACACTCAGCATAAATGGCGGCCAACGCCAAAATGTCTGGCGTGCCAAGCCGACAAAATGGCGTGTACGCCTGATGGGCTGGCGTTGGCTTTGATCGCCAGCCAAACGCCACTCCCACGCCACGCCACGCCACTTGGCGCGGGCGCACGCCATTCGGCCACGCCAAAACGATAGCTCTCTTTCTCTGCTCGCTCCAGTTCACAACCATCTGGACTGCTTAGAATCTTTGGATTTTTTTATGCTGAAGCCACTGTCTCTTTCCCACACCATCGACTGTTTCTCAAATGCTCCACAATTGAGGAGTGTGACATTCTTTGGACCCGCCAAGGACGTCTCAACGTTCAGGCTGCCATGGAGCCAATTGCAACATTTCTCGCTCCACACTAACTTCAATGTTCCGTCTACTCCTGCCGACTTGCGCTTTATTCCCTTATACAGGCTTCCATCTGGCGGCACATTGTTCCTCGACTTGTGTCTTGCACTCGGACCAAATAACAACCTGACATCAGCGACGCCCCAACGGGTGTTGAGCCAGTCACTTAGGCTTTATTTCTGGGCGGAAGTTGGTAACAGTGACGCGGCTCACAGTAGTCTGGGGCAAGTCCTAGCTTCTCTCTTGTTTCCCAAGGTCACGAAGTTGATACTGGGAGCACAAACTCCCGGGCATCCGACCTACCTATGCTGGAACCAAGCGGAATTCTGCGCCATCATGGAGCGCTCAGATATGGGACAACACCTGACTTGTCTCATCATCACCCTACCTTTCAGGACGACTGAGCTCTGCGATATTCTCGCTCGGCTTGAATCATTAGAGGATTTGTGCCTCACAGACCTATACACCGGAGAGAGTCCGCCGCCCCTCGTGACGGACGAGCTGCTGCACCGGCTTACCGTCTCTGCAGACTCGGATCCGGATCGGATGCTGGTCCCCAAGCTCGGCTTACTCGAGATCTCTGGCCGCTTCACATTCACGGACCACGCCTTGGAGGAATTCGCACACAGCAGGATGCTGCATGCCAAGGCGCTGCCCCTGCCAAATGTCTTCACTCTTGGTCTATATCACAACAAAGGAGTCGAATGCCCAGTAGGTAAACAGCTCGAGGTCCAATTTCGACAGCGGTTTCGCGTTACCATAGAAGAGTACTGACTCGAATGGGCGGTTATAAGTGTCGCTGGTGCAAGAGGCATCAACAACCTTCACATTCCAGCTGCAGGTTACCCATTGTATAACTACCCGAACCTTGTCTTTAACTGTTTCATGATCGCAACCTGTCCTGGTACTAGTATGCAGTGTTATTTGGCACTTCAAGTTATCCGAACGAAGACGACTCGAAATTGAGATATTCGCTTGCAGAGGGCGAAAGAATCTGAACCATGCGTGATTCAATTCTTGTAATGGTGGGTGCAAAGGCAGAAAGGTACAGCAGGTTGGAGCGATGATTATAGTTGTGGATGAGCGAAGGTGGAGAAATGAAATGTGAGACTATCAAAATATCGGAGAAGAAAGTACGTGGTGGATACGGCGTCAATATGTATCGGGCAGAAGGAAGAATATGTGGAACGCACAGTAAAGTTATAAGACCAAGTGCCGCAAACTATCCACCAGCGCCGCAAACCACATCACTCTCCTTCTCTCTATCCACAACCTGAAAACCGGCTCCGCCACCCAACTTTGGCTCCCGAACCCAAAATGCAGCCAGCAATTTGTTTTCCGCCAACACGCCTTGCTGGACCGCAGACGATAACGCGCACCAGAGGATGAGGTCAGGCGTGGCCACGAACGACGTGGCGCGCCTCCTCCTCGACACACAGCCTTTATACCCGCGAGATCGGATGGATAGTGGTGTAGTGGAAGTGATGGTAGGGGTTGATGGTAGAGCGTGGATTGGACAGTAAAAAGCAATGCGGACACGGACTAAAAATCTAGTCCAAGACGGGAGTAGAAGTAGCAGTAAGGTAAAGTATAGAAGGAAAACTAAGCGGGGGCAAGATCGGAAAAAGAGAAACTCAGCATTGAGATGAGACAACGGTAGAGGAAGGATGGAAAGAGAGGGGAGGTATGTACAAGTGAAGGCTCGAGAACGATTCGAATTTCGAAGAGAAGCAATTTGTAGTTGCGCATTGGTGAGAAAATAGGAAGGGAGTTGAACCCAATGCCGTCAAGAAGGTCGGATAATATGAGTGTTCAAGTCCAGGTTGAATTCTGTCCAGTTTATCAAGTCCGTCTTGCTCGCGTTCCAAAGGTTCAGTCAAACAAGGCTCATCCCACAAAACGGCGTCAACGAGGATCTTCGGGCATGTCGTAGCGCTTGGAAAAAATTGGGTGGCACGAATGGTGTAGAATGAGCCACGGGATGCAGTCTGCAGCGGCGTAGGTGATGCAGGGGCAGAGCGACAAAGTCGTATGGGGGCACCATGACACGTGACTTTTGAGGGAAGCAATGGAAAAGTAGGTGGTCGACTCCGTAAATGGCGGGAGTAGCACGAGCTAACGCTGGCGCAGATGCGGAAAGACGAGAGAATGTCTTCGAAGGAGGGAGGGTGGTTTTTGGCACGGGGCATCTTTTGCACCGCAGGCCAAGAGTAAGAGACATTTGTCGACAGAGGAAATGAGGGCACAAGATAATATGCGGGCGCGTTAATCTTGCTGCCCACGTTAAGTCAAGGTTGCTACCAGGCAGCTTTCCAGCCTGCCTGAAAGCGAAATCAGTCTACTGTTGGTCGTAAGGAAAACAACAAGACAAACGCACGAATGCAAGCCTCTTCAAACAGAATTTCTCTCTGTGGCATGTTTTGGTGTTGTTGTCGTGGTCCATGCGAGTCGCGACTTGCGTTTCCAAGCAACACAAGGCTCGCAGGCTAGTCTCCCGTCCCTGGTATAGTCGTAAAATAAGAGTTCAGAGAGCAACTGCGAAGAGAAGAATGTTAGCAAAAAGCGACAGAGACAAGGCCGAGCTTGGCGCACCAAGAAGACCAGCGGTTCGGAGTGCTCTCCAGGCACATCCCACTGAGCTCTTTCACTCTAAGAGCTTGCGCATGTCAGTTGTCGAGGCAGTAGTGCCCCGCAGCATTGGGTGGAGACAGCGTCCGCTGTATCATCCTGTTGGCCACCAGTGAGTGAATCTGACTGTGGTTTTGAGAATAACACATACGATTAGAGCCCGCGATTCGTTCTTTTCTTCGAAGTCATTCGTTGTGTCGGAGGAGAGATTTATCTTCATACCTTCGCTTGTCGATAGAAGGTGAGTGGGTCGATTGACTTGAGGCACTTGAGTTCGCCGGAGCAAGGATCCACGGACATCTGCAAAAAGAAAAGGTTAGAAAAAAAGGAATGGACAGCGAGGCGGCCATGACACACCAAGAGGGCCCACGATTCCGAGTCACCACCATAGCCCTCCCACCACCCAAGAGCACGCGCTTGCTGAGTGTCGAAGCTCGCGCCAGTGCCACGTAGTATAAGCGGACACGCTAATCGGGACTGGTGAGCAGGCTTTTGCTTTGCTGGCTGTAACACGTATCGGGTAGCGTGCCTTCGCTATGGTTAGAGGGATTGAGCGCGTGGGCGGAGCAAGACAGCGTCGAGGACGGAGGCCGGACAGCGATTGGTGGTCGTTGTCGCGAGCGGAAGAGGACTCGGAGTGATGGGAAACGGTCACGCATCCCTCACGATCTGGCTTTGTCTCGACGAGCACGGCCCACTTGGCTTGCACGATTCTTTGAGCTTGCGCATTCTTCCTCTGAAGCTTTCGAGTTTCAACGAGCACAACATCCATATCTTTCTTTCGCGCCATCACATCTCGACGTGCGCGACCCGCTGCAGGCAGCAGATCGCGCTACACACTGCCGACTCTCCCGGACTTCCTGTCTGTCAGAGCAAGCACCGGTACCAGCGACACCTGGGCCGTCTTGTGTTCAACTTCTACGACTTTGAGCCCGCGAATGCGACACACGTGCCGACTTTCTGGCGGGGACACACGGAGACCGCCAGCTTCCGGAATGACCTCCTCCATATGACCTCGGCGCAATACCTCTTCGGCGCAGTCTTTGGCGGCGTGCACTGTCTCGCCTGAGCCACGTTCTTCCCATCCGTTGTGGAGCAATGGCTGTGGCGCGTGTCTGCCGTGCTGGTCACCACCCTTCCTGTCGCTTTGATCTGGTTCTTGCGGACGGTCCCGGTGCGGTATATATCCCAAGACATCGATGACTCCGAGTCGGACTCCAGCTCGCTGGCGCCGTATGTGAAACATTGCGGGCAGTGCTTGTGAGGCTGGATATAGCGGTATACTGCGTGGCCAGGATCATTCTGATTGTCTTACCCTTGTCGACGCTGTGCTCATTGCCCCCAGAGGCGTTCATCGATGTTAATTGGAGCGCATATATTCCACATCTGTAAAATAACTTCAAAAGGAGAGCTTGTCTTTCACGTAAGTATATGAGTTGCAACTGAGGCATCTTCACGCTCTGTGTTTTGTGCGGCGAACTCTCAGTGCTCGCGTGAGCTCGGTAGTGCTCATTTCTATCCTCAACCTGCATGCTATTCCAGGTCACCAAATAGATCCAAGTCTGAAGTTGGAAAGACATCACTCACATTTCTACCTACAATACTCAACAGTCAATATCGATTCTATCGAAGCCTGCCTTTAGCAGTCGCTCTTATCAGCCCCTTCTCAAATGCCTTCGGTATATATTCAGAGCTTCGCCTCCAGCTTGAGGAATGCAGCACGCTTCGGCGGATCGCAGGATGGGTTATGCCGTCGATAGTACTTAAGAATATCAAGATGCCACTCGACGATGCGGATGGCGGGGTGGCGGTCCAGTGCATTGTCAAGAAGCTGGAGTGTTGCAGCACTGGAAATGAAGGGATAGTGATCGTCGACGGCTGGGAGATGCTGGAAAGTGAGTTGGACATGGACTAGCGACGGCGCGCCATTTCGAGAGAGCAACGTGACGAGGCCCGGAGGCGGATCGAATGAGTCGATGTTGAGGATTAGCACCCGCAGACGCGAGAGCTGGGCGGGGAAAATAAGCTGTTGTTCAAGAAGCGATGCTGGGTCTAAACAAAAAGAAATGGGAGAGGAAAGATGCTGACTGGAGGCAAGATTGAGATATATGTGCTCGAGCGTTGCGGCAGAGGAGAAACATGCGGAGAGCTCTACCTGGCTGTTAACCCAGTCGAGCTCCAGCACACGCAATTGCTGGATGTATGGCAGGAACTGCGAGTCCGTCAAAAGGGTTGTGGAAAATTCAGGACTCTGTGCAATGCTCAGATTTGTGAGTGGCTTCTCGCACTCTGGATAAGCAGCTGTTCCAGACGTGTCTGAATGGGCAACTTTGATATAAGCAAACGTGGATGATGTGGCAACCGAGAGAACGCGATGGAGCAGGCCGTGTGTGAGAAGAACATTGTGGAGGGCAAAGCACCGCAGCTGTCCATGGGCTTGTAGGATACTCAGCAGCGAGATGAGGAGGCTTGATTTCAAGCTTAACAATGGTGGTTCATAGCGCAGGCTGTAGATAGTAGCGTCGCGAACGCAGGTGAGCCGCCTGAAGACAGACTCAGCAACGGGGTGGTTCTCCTCCAAGTCCGCCGCATCATATTTAATCATGATGTGGAGGCTGGTTACATATGACGCGAAGCGTGGGTTTGCTTCAAAGAGGCCAGCTGCGTGGCCGTAGGAGCCGGTCGCGATGTGAAGAGCCGAGAAGAGTTGCTTTTGCGCGGGGTATCGGAATGAAGTCGAGACCAGGGAGCATGCGGAGAGTGTACGCCTGTCCTCGTTGGAGATGTTGGCAAGAATAGGCTCATAGAGCTCTGGCGGAAGCCGGGTGGGCATGTCGCAGGCAAGAGCAAAAGCAGTCGAGATCGCAGATACAATAAAATGGGATTCAACGGGATTCAGACGTTGGGTAATTGATCACTTGAGAGTAGAAAAGGACGTTGAAATGCACGGGCGATTAGTTCTGGTGGCGAGAAACAACGAGCGAAGTGGCGACTGTCACAGCGACGATGCATCAAACTCCCCTTCTCTCTTACTGTCACCGCTATGTCCATCCATCTCTCTAGGCCGTTGCAGTGCACAGCCCGCAGCATACCCATTTCGTTCCAACTCAAAATCGAAGCCAAAGGCACAACGGCTGACTGGACGAAGACCGTTTTTGGCTGAGGAGGCAAAACTGCGGCAGTTGTGTGTATGTCCCGGCACACTCTTCTAGCTCTTCTCCGTTTTGCTGACCCGGCCCTGGCATCCAGAGAAACGACTACATGCTCCGCTGGGAGCTGACTACACGAGAGGCTGGATGTGTTCTTAGGCAACGGAGCGATGTGCGTTTTCGCTCGCCTTCCTTTGTAGATGTGGCTAATTCAGAGAATAGTAATAAGTACCTAGAGCTTTACGCTCGGGCGAACTTGCAGCAATGCCTTCTGGGTACAACCACAACAAACTACCAGCAAACACGATGTCGGTCCGCAGTAATGGTGCGGCGATGGAGTTTTGGGTGGTTCTCGAGAGGGCAGTGGGAGACAATTTAAAACGGATTTGGATATAGGTGCGCGCAAAAAGTCACTCTCTTTACCCAAGGTTGTTACTGACATTCTCCCTCGTAGGCTCTTTGTCGACTTGATTTCAGGGTCGCAACATCGCGACATTATTCTGATTCTCCAGCAACACCTCTTTCGGTTAGACAGTCTCGAGACTCGTCATTCTTCCCGTATCTGGAAGACTGCCATGTATACTGGTGTTCTCGAGTGCGTATTTGACCACGCCTACTTTCATCCATTGAAAGTGCTGAAGTGTCCTCCCCGCCATAAATGGCATATACACCCATGATTTATCTCCGCAACCACAGGAAGACCAGTCGACACACGCGTCTCCTTACCCCAGACATCAAGATGGCCGACGGAAATACAACGACCCATCTCATCTTCCGTCGGCAAGTACATTGGAAGGTACGGTCAACTTTTTTCTACATCTTCCATGTCTGAAACGCCGTTTAGCCACATGAACAACAATATCCCCTCTTAAGCAACATATACATACTTCCCTGCTTCGTTCTTAGCTCTCCCGCTTTTCTGTCGACGTCCGCACCATCCGCCCAAGCGAATCAAATTTTTTGTCCGCATGTGGAAAGTCACGTGCGCACCACTCGCCTGAAAGACGTCCACATATCTTACTCAACGCGGCAGCTAGCGCTCTACGGAGTGTATCTCGTTGTGCCTCATACCTGTCCCCTCCTACCTATCTCTTTATTCCCTACCATTCGACGGGGAAGGCCCCCATTGAACGCGTTTTCTCCTACAGCCATATGGGAGGCATGGGCGACTTTTCTTCCTCGACGGGATACATACACGTCGGCGGAGGTTATTCGGGGCGATTTTCAAGGGATAGGGGAGCTTGAGAAAGCGTTTTAAGCGGGAGTTCTGAAGCATTTGGCGAAGGACAGCATATGCGGACCGTCATCCGGGTCGGACGAGCTCCCAAGCAAGACGATGCTACATATCTCTCGACACACGAAGGCTGGGCTTCTTCTCAATTTTCCCAACGACTCTCCTCGACAGTTGCCCCCTTGTTTGCGTGGAGAATCTCTTGGATCGTCATTCCACTTCTGAATGGACACATAAACTACGATATATATCTACCTCTGCAGAATTTGAATGTAGTGCTCTTTCGTGGTTTACAACAGTTGGCAAAGAATCTACTATGTTACAAGTGTGCAATGTGCGCTCCCGGCCCAGTCGACGTCTGCAAACGTGGTTGGAGGTAGAGAACGTAAAGTGGCAAAGGGCAAGCCTGAGATAAGTAGGATAACTCGAGCCGCCGCCAAGTACAGTGTAATTGTCGCTGTTATACCGAGCCTTGTTTGGGGAACGAAGACGACGGGCTGCAGAGATAGTGATGACCAACGCAGAGATGCGCCAGAGCAACATTTCGACGGGCGAAGGGAATGCCGCCTCACAAGGCAATAGATGGCGCAAAACAGGAGGCCACAGATTAACTGGCTGATGTCGGCGAGGGACCACGAGAACATGCTGGAGGACTGGAGAATGTGGTAGTCGGTGAAATGCGTGCACCAGAATGTGGGGACGGAGGCGTTGTCGAGGACTCGAGCAGGTCATGCTCACCACTGTGGTGAAGACGCCGCTGACGCAGCGGGGTAGGGTGGGCCGCGGTTATGCTAGCCGGGAGGGGCGGTGTACTAGGGTAGTAGTTTGGGAGTCGTATCTCGTCGATGACTTGAATTTCTTTAACCATGCTTGATTGACCATCATCGGAGCAGCTGGCTTTTCGTGACGATTGGGTGCCCTTGTTCGTCGATGAAACCATCCATGAGAATAAAAATCAGTGGCTTAGCGACATTTTAGTATACTCATGAGTGTTAACGCGGAGAAGGCGGAACTACAAACCTTCTGAGAGTGACCAAGCCATCAAGAGCTACAGCCGCGAGTCCAACGAGGGCCACGGTCATCAGCTTTGCGTGAAAAGCAGTGGAAAATTCCGCCATTTCGCCCAGACTGAAAGCTAGATGCAGAGGAAGATCGTAGCGAAGCAGCCCCCAGAGAATATCAAAGAGGCAGCTGCATTCGGGTCGACAGGTTCATCCAAGGGAGAGCGATAGCGGAGCGAGGGAAGGGCAAGAAGAACTAGCATTAGTACTAGCTCCTGACGCACTGCGATGGCGTTCCTGGCCCTCGAGCACACTTGAATGTCAGAGAGAAAGTAACTCAAATCAAGGATCAAAATCCTGTGACGCGTTCTCTTCCGCACCACGACCTTTAGGCCATCTACTTCGTCCACCACGCATTGCTACGACGATGCAGGTCGTTGAGCCTGAACTAAGGGAGAGCTTCATGGGCGTGGGGGTGAGCGGAAAGTGCGTTGATAAGCTCTACATCTACGTTTGGCACTGACATTTGGAAGAGGCTACAAAGCCCTAGTGGCGTTGCGAGGATGGAACTTTGGGTGGTCGCAGACTCGGAGGATGGATATGGGCGGTATACTGTATCAAAAGTTTTTCACAACTTTCAACTCTTTTTTTCAGACTTTTTAGGGACAACTCCAGGCAAGGTGTTTCCAGCTAAAACAACTGCCAGAGGGATTAATACAACTTGTAATTTACAACAACATCTTTTATTTTCTCAACTACAATCTCCTGTGCCTAGGCTCTGTGCTTGTTTCTGAATAGTCTGACTCCCAGCAGATTCCAATTAATGATGGAAATAAATTTAATGATCTGATTGAACTCCCATATTACATAAATGAATAAATAAAACTCTCTGCTAGAAATTCCTAGCTTCTGTTAATATCAGAGTCAAGTTTTAAAGACAGTTGCACCAGGCTTGTTGAAAGTTGCAGTATAAGAGATTGCAAGTTGCACATGCTTTTCTAAAGTTGTAAGTTGCATGTCCAAAGTTGCAATAAGGAGTGCTAAGTTGCAAGTTGTTCCTGTCAAGTTGCTGCAGGGAGTAATAGTTGTCAGCCATGAAGTTGTGCATGAAAAGTTGCAAGTTGTGCACAAAAACAACCAGTTGTATCATTGAGTTTTGAATAAAATCAAAGTTGTACCTAAATTCTCACTGCTTTGGGTAGAAGTTGTACTAAAACTTTTGATACAGTATACTGCCCATAGATGGATAATGGGCGACGAGCGGCTTATAAGTACGTGAAAAGCCCGCTCTCCTTACCGAAGGTCGTTGGTGATAATTCTCCCTCGCAGGTCTTTTCGACTCCATTTCTACTTGAAGGAGCGGGGCCATTCTCATCCTTCGGCAACGTTTCTTCCAGGACCCGTTCTGCTTGTCCATGCCCTGCATATTACTTGCTGTCAAGAGAGTGGGCACTACTAGTAAGGGTGCGTATTGTAACCATCCATCTTGCGGCCAGTAACCAAGTACTTAGGTTCTACCCGCCAGCAATGACATATTCACCATTTGTTGAGAATTGACGTTGGCAGGCTCTGCAGGACAGTTGGTATTTGGCCAATTCGGTGCGTCAAAGCATGTTCTTGTCTTCTGCAATTTGCTTGACGTCTTTCACCGCAGAGGTTCTTTGACTCCTCCTCTGACGGGTGTAACTGCGGCAGACCACTTGTCCTACCAACTCGAAACCGTTGGTACCGGTCAGCTTACAATCACCTGCCCCCGGCCCATGACGACGGTGGAACAACAACTTGAGAAACAGCTCATATTACAAATGGAGAGGAGAAAATTTTTGTCAGAGACGGGTTGCGTTGTGGGTCTTATTTCTAGGTCTAGACTAGCATCCGCTCATTTCTGTGTTTTACAATATGAAGGAGCCCGCCAAATCCGCGCCGAGCTAATACTTTGGGGTGGATCAAGTGGGGAGGAGGAGGAAGGTCGCCGTGCCACATGCTGCACATTCTTAGTAACTTGTTGCAGAGTCGTATCTATGTCGACGTGTTGAATGCACGCTTTCTACACATGAAGCACTCGTTCTGTATTTGGACTGAAGCCAGCGAAAACGTGAGGTTGCGCAATTGCGACCAGAGTGTATTGGCTTCTGTGGTAAGTCGCAATTGCTTGTTCGCGTATTACTTACGACCTTTTCCTTTGGCAGATACCTGGTACATGTGCTTCTTGCAGGCGCTAAAACGACTGGAAGAATCGAGGCCACGAGTTCACTGCCTCCATGTTCTATGTCGATCATGAACCCGTTTTCTGGGAGATTTTCTCAAGACTCTGGTCCAATTCAGGATGTCGCGTGCAAGCCTCACCCCACTAAGCGGGCATATATACATCGTACAGACACATGCCCGCTCGCCCATTACCATGCTCCTCTTACTCGCACTTGGTGGTTCCTCTCTTCAGCTTGCCTCGAGTCAGTCCTCCGAGTCCATAGCGCCTTGCTCGTGCGAGAGCCCACATGACTCCAGGACTCTCTTCGACATCGCATGGGGCTGCTTTGCAACATTGTTTGCATGCGTATGGGTGTCCGTACATCCCAACGTTCCTCCTCCCCCGCCGGAAGAGCCGCTAGAGCCTGGCGTATGGAAGAGGGTCAAATGGCATCTCCAATGCTTTCTTGGGCCGTTGAAACGCCGTCTAACGCTGATGGCGGTGGCCGTCCTTGCTCCCGAGCTCATATTTGGCCTTGCTGTAAGGCAGCTTGTGATGGCGCGTCACTTTGCTAGGAGTGCGTAACAGTTGCCATTTATTGCTCTTTTAAAACATTCTAATTACTTTGAACAGAGCACGAGATTTCCATTACCCATGGTTTTTTTGTCGGTATGGGGGGCTTTGTGGATGCAGAGAAGCATCCAGTCGTTACCGACAAACAGATCGACTCAAATTCCGCAGTGCGAGCTGAAATTCAAAGTACTCCACTGTTCAGCATCCAAGCAAAAAGTAAGGGTGACTTATTTTCCAAAGGAATTGCGTTTTTCCAAACACTTTGGTTTATTCTGTAGTGCATCGGGCGATGTGCTCAACATCTTCCCATCACACAACTCGAAGTATCAACACTTGCCTTTGCCGTGCTCACATCATTCATCTGGCTCATTTGGTTGAAGAAGCCCCTGGATGTCCAAGAGCCGATTCAGCTCACAAATAGAATCTCGATCCTCGACCAGCCTTCAAGTTTTGCTGCGGGTCCAGACCTCCCGCAAGCCGGCACAACCCTTATCGAGAGTTTGGATCGTGTGCGCTTGCCAGGCACCGTTCAAGACTCGGCTCGGGACACTGAAGCGGCTGACGCGGAAGCATCGGCCCGGGCCGTAAAAGCATTACCAGAGGCTGCACTGGCAGGACTCCCCGGGCCGGAAGCTACAAAAATCTCCAGTGGAGTGCCAGTGCGATCTGGCACGTCCAAGCCGAGCCACCGTAAAATGCTTCTTCATCACCTGGGCAACATTCTTGTTGGGGGGCTCAGCTCTTCTGTGGCCAATCTAAACTCGGCAACTTCTGTCCCCGCATTTTGGTGTGGGGTTAGAAATGATCTTCCTGCTTCTCTTGTTTTGGGGTCACTCATCCTCGAGCTCATTTGTGGATCGGTTTTTGGTGCCATACACTGCATTGTGTGGTTTGTTGAATTTCCCAGTACCATGGAGATGTGGATTTGGCGCAGCTCTGCAGCTTTGATCAGTGCAGTCGCGCCGATTTTCATTCTTCCTTTCCTCATATACTTCATGGTGCGAACACTTGTGGAGCTCTCCTGGCTAGTCATATCCTTCCTGTGGCAACACATATCGCGCGGGGACACCAGAGTAAAGTTGGCAAAGGATTGGGATGACGTTGTGGGATCGGTGCTAGGGCCAGTGTTTCTGTTCGTCTGGGTTCTCTATGGGGTCATTTATTGCCTTGCACGAGCGTTGATCCTGACGCTCATGCTGACAACCCTCCGCTCCCTCCCCGCAGAGGCATTTATCAATGTGAACTGGAACCTATACATCCCTCACTTGTAACTTGGTCGAATTAGGATTATATTATCCAGCCCAATAAATCAGGTAAACCCCGCGTGGTAGTAGGCTCAGACCATGATAGACCGAATGCTCTGGAGACTCTACGCAGAGACTCGGATAAACGGTGCATTTTTGCAATTGCTCGTTGATCATGGTGAATATCCAACTTGAACAGAATGATGTCAGGGACACAGCGTGTATAATTTCATTGGACTGGCCGAATTCCGATTATCATGATAGCATGGGCAGTTCCCGAGGGAACAACTAAAGCGCCAAAGGGCGCGCTGGTGGGGTGTGCCATTTCGTAGAATGGCGGATGCATTGTCTAGGCGGTACTGGCGGGACAACGGGAGTGTCGAGAGACGCAAAGCTTTGCATGCAGGAGGGCGTGTCAGTGGGTATGAAGCAACTACGGGCGACGTTGGGGGCAGGGCTGCGAAGCGCTGTGCGCTCCCCGCAGAAGCGCCATAACTTGACTCCGATGTCTGTAAAGTCACGGTCAGGTCGTATCATTGGCAAAATATTCGACACAACTTGAAGCATTGCCAAAGGATATGTGGTAGCGCCACTTGCAAGCGTTTATTGCTGCACGACGTCGCACAACGCATCTCGAAATCTCAGTCCTGAGTAAAGAGGTTCATGCCAATCTAGCAGAGAAGTTTAGTAACTTGACATGCCTTTCTCTTTACTAGCGCCTCGCTCAACTTGCACTGGAGTCTGGCAGTGAGACTTCACGGAACGGCTGGAACATGGCTCGACTCACTCGAGCAAGGGTTTCGACGAGCAAGACGAAAGAGAGGAACAGGAACTTGACTGCCCTCTGAGGCTCTGGGCTGCTGATCACGATATTGACGCGCAGGGCGTCAGACGCTTGCTAATCCTACGGATTCCTACCGATCGAGTCAGTCTTCTGTACACTCTCAGCGCTAACTTGAATATCGCATACGCACCCAAATCCTCCAGCAGCCTGAGCTGACGTTGAATAATTGAAGACGTTGCCGCCCCCGCTGACAGTGGTACTGTTTCCGAGCAGAAATTGTGGCGGTATAGACCAATTAGAGGTCGAACGAAGGAGTAGGCTTAGATACTTGGAAAATGATTGGCGTTACAGATGGAGACAGCGCAGCATGATAAGTACCTTCTCAGGCTATAAAGGCAGGCTCCTTCCGGCGCGTTTTGGTGCCAACAGGATCCAGAGGTCGGTGAGCCAAGCAGAGTATTAGTGACGCGCGCGTGCGAGTAGGTAGAAGCCCCAGTATTAGTCCATCATGGGCCCCCGGCTCGCTTGAGCAATATTGGCAGGCGAAAGGCGGGAGGGGAAGGAAGCAGTCGCAGGCGTCGTCGTCGCAGAAGACAGAGATCGGCCCGAGCACGTGATCCCACCGATCTTCTTCTCCACTTCCACCACGACGGCTGTGGCCGACTCCTTCGCCTGCGATAACTGTGGCCGCGCCTGGGGGTCTGCACACAATAGGCGGCGCCAAACGTAGTGCCTCGTTGGGGGAGGCAAGCGGATGGGAGGTTGGGAGCGCTGGGAGCAGGAGGTGTGTCTCCATTTCCTCGTCAACCATGTTTCCAAGCTGACAAACATGCCCAGTACCTCCGCACTGGCTTTTGGGAGCATATTCGCCCGCGCCTGGCTGACTGCATTCCCATTCCCAAGTAGCGCCATGATTGTCGTTGGCGTGGCAATCCCTCTTCTCGCCCGCTGTGCGGAGTTACAGTAGGCGTGGAGACGACTGCGTGCGAGCCCGCTGCTGCCAGAGGGGACGGTTTAGACGGGCTACGGGCTCGCTCATATGTGGGGAACTCGTGTGAGTCGTTGCTCTATCTTCCTGTCGACAACTGGTTTTGACCTGCTCCAAAGTCCCGCTTCCCATTGCCCTATTTTCTTGCTCCTTCATCATCTCCATCGCCACGGCCAGGCCTGTCGCGCGCTCCTAACGCAAACGAACCTGCCAAACCGTTCTCATTCCAGCTCGCGCAGCAACTCCGCAAAGAGACACGGTTCGACGGACACTACATGGATTTTCGCGCTCATATCTGCAGGCAGCAGAACCTCCCCGAAACCCCACACATGCTCGACCTCTAGTTTCATGACTTTGCCGACTTCTTCCCTTGTTTGCGGAGCTCCGACGAGCTGCCTACGATACGCCATTCGTGGACAAGACCACTGATTCTTTCCTTTTCCTTGCGGTGCCGCGTCACTGCCAGTGCATCGAAAACCACATGTTTCGCCCACCGCCCCAGCTACCGCTCTGGCGAGCGCGTCTAGTTGCGTGGTATTCCTCCACGATCTTACGCGACTCTTTCCTTCTGTGAATCCCAGGAGGAAAGCCGCTGTCGCGCCAGTCTTCCTGCGCGCAAGACGGTCCTTCGTCGAGGAGCAAAATGAAAATCCCACCCATATATCCTGGCCGCATTATATTTGCCCCAGCGTACAAACGACTACGCTTGTGGTCATGGGGCTAAATACCCAAGCTTGTCGACCGACTTCGACGAAGAACAGCAGTGGGTAATTTGGGTCAAGCTCGTGGACTATCGCAGCTTTCTTCAGTGCAATACACCCTCACTATAACTCCCTGCTCCGCTCTCATCTCTCTCCCGCCCTTCCCGCCCGCGCTTGCACCCTACAAGCAATCGGCGGTGACTTCCCAAAATGGCAAGTCACGTGCTCACTCGCCGACCGAAAGACGGCGACATATCTCGCACGAGGCAGCAGCTGGCGCTCCATGGCGTGTATCTCCACGTTCCCCATACCATTCTCCTCCTACTTGATTCTTTCTGCCCCGCCATTCGAGGCGCAATACCGCTGTCGAGCGCGGTTTGTCTTGCGTTCATATGAGCAGTATCGGTGATGTTTCTTCGTCGAAGGGGGACATACGCGTCGGGGGGATGTGATTTGGGGCGACTCAAAAGTGGTGGGGGAGCTCAGGAAAAAGTTTCAAGTGGATTGGGGGGAGGAAAACTCTTGCGGACTAATACTTGGGGGAGTTGCCCGTTGGACGAGCGCTCAAGCACTAGACGGAGACAATGCTCGACACACGGAGGCTGGCATTCTTCTCCTCCATTCTTCCTTGCCCGTCAAATGTCCTCTACAGCTGTCTTCTGGTTGCCAGGAGATGGAGGAGACCGCTGTCGTGATTATCCTTCCAGAATCCAGATGTATGTGTATATACTTTCCATCGCTGCTTGTCGATTACATGCATTCGATATTGTTTTATACAATCTGCACGATCGCTGTATTGTACGTTGTGTAGCTTAATCATATCCAAACCTGCTTCGACAACATGATGATAACTGTTTCCCTTCCAAATATATTCTTCATACATAATTCACGTCGTTACATGTGATACTTCTGCCTGTTACTTGGGAGTCGCGTACAGTTTAGCAATCCAATAACTGCTTGTCTAATCATTAAATAACAAGGAGTATCAGGTGGACGAAAGGGAAGATATCGGGACTGGAACAAATCAAGAGCGCGGACATCCGCCCCGGCACCCGCCCAACTCGAGCCAGGTCAAGACCACCTTGCCGCACGCGTTTTTGCATCTCGAGAAAACGGTTGCCCCAAGAACGGCCGCGACAACTGGGTCCTCGAGGAAAACCCTGCCGAAAGCAGGGCCGCCCGCACAGGAAAAGGCGCGGATCCGCTCGTTGCAGTCATAGACCGTGTGGCTGTCGACCAGCACCGTCTCCTCCTGGACGCGCAAGTGGCCCAAAAAAATAGCGAAGCGGATGGCGCGGGAGGGAATGGTGCTAGGTGGAGAAGAGCAAGAACTTGAAGGGCTTGGGCGCGCGTGTAAGTAGTTTTCGGATTGCAACTCCTCGCATGCAGACAGAACAGCGCGGATGCGTAAGTCCACGGAAGCTTTGGCGGGTCCGTTTGCGCTTCAAGTTGGAGTGCGCCAGAAGCCTGGCGGTGCCGACGGAGATGACGAAACAACAAGAAAATGGGGCAGTGGGAATCGGGACTTGAGAGTAGGTCAGTCCAGGTTGTCGGCAGGAAGTTCGAGCCACGACTCACCTGTGCTCCTGCCCACACGTTGAAGATGTAGCTCCAAAGCCTCCGAGTCCCCACGCTGAGATGACTCCGAAAAGTGGCCGGGGAGAGGAATTGCCGCGCCGACGACAATCATCGCGCTACTAGGGAATGAGAATGCGGGGAGCCAGGCACTGATAAATACGCTGCCGGAAGCTGGGGCAAGGTCCTGGCTATCTTTGTGAGCTCGGCGACCTCGTTGACAAGAAGATGGACATAGCAAACGCACCTCCTACTCCCACCAGCGCTCAAGTCTTGACTCTTGCCTCAGCCCTCCGTATAGCGGCTTTACCTCACCATTCCTATCCCCATCGAAGACCCGCTGCAGCGCTTGGTGGTGTTGTTATCGTCATGGAGTCACTACAGTTGTCGGTATTGGTGTAGTGGGCTCCTGGCCGAATATATCGATGTCAGCTATAACAAGCTCTGAAAAACTTGAGGTGGGGAATAGAGTGACGCGCAGAGGTGCTTAGTAGTCCGCCACAAGGGTGCTGATGTGGCTACAGGCTTGGGACCTTCCAAGTAGTCGTCGTTAGAGAAGAAAAATTTGTTATTGTGACACATCTGTCTGGGGCTTATCTTCCGCTCAAAATTTACCGCAAGTATAACCCGGACTTCGTTAATAGTGCGACTGCCATACATATATGCGCATAATACGTCAGCCCGGCGCTTGCGGCCTGCTGCATCAAGGCCACCCACACAACCTCCACAGCCTTGTCAACGACTTCCACGTTCTTACCTTGCCCCTTGATGTGCCCCCGGACTCCCTTGGACATTCTCCCCAGCGAGCTCTGGGACAGTGTATTCGACCTTCTCCCGGATGGCCTGCTGCTGCTGGAGCTCGCTCAAGTGAGCCGGTTCTTCAATACGCGTTGCCTCGACAGATTCCTTCGCGGACAGCTCAGTCTTCTGGGCACAGAAAAGCGAATCGCTATCAGGCCCTGCGACATCATCGCACTCTCGCTATGTGTTCTCTGGAGAGAGCTCCCTACAGAGATGCTCGTCTGCGAGCAGCTCGATGTCTCCGACCTCCGCAACCTGCAAGTGTTGTCGTGTTTGCAAGACCTCATCATTCGATCTCCCATGCTACACACCCTCTACCTATACTTCATCACCGACTTGCTCTCGGATTCTTGTCCTTCTGAGAGCCGCAAGCTCGTCCTCCCCCACCTATGTCAAACGCTCTCGCTCTTTGCCCATCGCAACGAGAACAGCCATACTTAAACAGGATGTGGTCTTCGCATTTACTGAAAAAGCGATGTTCTCCTGCTCTGCCGACGATCTGGCTCAGTGGGAGCTCCACAAGGGGAGGTTCAATTACGACCGTCCTCGGGAAGGCAGATGGCGTCTTGGCTTCAAGAAAAGCCAAATTGAAGAGGGAAACTTGAAGTCCAAACGGCCTTGGGGTGCGGTTACCAGAACTCGTCTGTATGATGGTCGAACGGAAGATCTCCCAATGCTACGCAGCCTTCTCTCGGTCAATGCCCGTCTCATCCAGTCACCTGGTCCGCGTCTAGCTTGGCACAGCAGCCTCGTAGTGCTCAATTGCTCGGTAGACAGACCTGGAGGTCCCGGCCCCATGTTCAGCAAGTGGTTCCGCGAATTCGAGCTGTCCCGCACCTCGATCCGTATTGCGTCCGAGGAATGTCTTGCGGCCGTGATGAAATATGCTCATCTTCGTTGGATTGAGTTCCTCGAGATCGATCCGGCCATTGGCCCGGCGCTCGCGCAACTGCAACACTTCCTCGTGAACCATCGTCGCCTTAAAAAAATCGACTATTGTCGGAGCTGGAGCTACAAGCCCCCAAAAGAGCAGGCTCCCATCCTTGATGCGGACTTCTGCCATCCAGCGCTCGAAAGTTTGCGGGTCCACATTCCGGCATTCCCCGACATGCACTGTTACTCCCTCGTCAAGGGCCTTGTCAATAGCCCCAAACTTTCCGTGATTACACTCTCCCTCGACAAATTAGTCGCCAGAGCCCGGCTTAGTGCGCAAACAGAAAATGTTATAAACGCACTGGACTTTATTGCCAGTGCGCGGCGACAAGTCCCCGCACTCACACTCACGCTTCGCATCCTCCCAGAATATCCGTTCTACCTCTACCGGACTGCAACTTGTCAATGGACAGACGATCCCCGCGCAGCCGCCATTGCTGCGCGGCTCCACTCTGTGACCAGCGTCCAGTTGTTGACATCGATGCCGGCTGCGGCAGTCGGACGCGGGGTTCTGCGGTGGTGTCGCCTGCTGCCCAATCTCCGATTCTTCGCTTGGAAGCTCGAGAATCACGGGATCTGGTTACCGTCAGACCAGGGGGAAAGACGAGAAAAGGAAGTGTTCGCAGCTGATGTAGCGGCGGCTTTGCCGCATGTGCCCACCATCCTCTACGACCCAGAGTTGACCGGCTATTAGCCAAATACTTACTCGTTCTGTTTTGCAGAAGGGATTTGGACTACTACTCAGTGCAGAACATTCAACAGACAGTAGTACTTACTTGGCAAAGACTGAGATAGAATATCAGATGCTCTACAAAGGACAACATATACTACTTGGAATACTTAGTGTCTGCCATTTGACCTGAGCTTCTAGACAAGCACATCAAACACATCGTCCCATTCTTGCGCCTGTACATAATCTCTCCATGTCCTTACCCTACGCCCTAGACATTTCCAAGCTGAACGGCATCGTCGGTGTAGTCGAGCAGAACACATCAGTACATTTCCCGGTTGTGCAGGGACAAAAGCCTACACCTAAACTCTCTAATATGCTTGTACAGAACGCTCAAACGAGCACATCACTCCAATCTTGAGCAAGCACGTACTGCTTCCACGTGCGCGGTTGGCGAGCGAGCCCCTGCTGCGAGAGCACAGTGCCTTCCGAAAAGTCTATCGAGCGAGAAGTTAGTATTCATCAAAGTGGAAAAGAGAAGGAAGATCGTCCATCAAACTTGCCGACAGATGTGAAGACCTCTTCGATGGCCAGCGCAATATGTGGCGGAGTACCAGCAGTCTTGACTCCCTCGCCGAAGACCGCGGACGGTATTTGGTGGAATACGACTTTCTTGCCAGTCGCTGGAGAACGATGAGCCAGCGAGACAGAGCCACCTTGCGAAAACGTCACCCTCTGAAAGCTCCTTCGTCTGGTCTTCAAAGCTAATAAGCTCGTCAAATGTCGCCCACGTCTGCTTGTCGGGAAAGACCGGCAGCTCGAGTGCCTTACGGACAAACAGGCCGTAGTCTTGCTCAGCGTCAATAATAGGCATCCGCCTCGTCGGGGGCAGGGGAAGGTTGACGGCCCAAGTGTCCTCGGAGACTCTGACTGGCCGCATGAAGGTGCGCATATTGCTCGCGTACCCGCCGGCCTAGATGTCGACAAAAGGGACCCCAGAAGCGCGGCCGTAGTCGGAGACGCGTGCTTTGCTTTCGAAATGGCCCACGTTCTTGTATTTGCCGCCAGACAGAGCGTCGATGCTGGGCAGCCCGGACCAGACGATGCCCTTGACACCTGCGGCTTTTGCAGCGTCTATCATGAGCTTGCCTTCAATGGTTTCCTTGAGAGGGAGTTGAGGCAATGAATCCAGGACTGTAATGACTCACCCGCGGTGGGTCTCCGTGTTCCGCCCAGTTAGTGACAAGCTACGAAGCGCATAAGTACAAATCTGACTGAGGAAGGGCAGCACACACGAAAGCATAGTCCGCCCCTTCAAACGCCTTGAATACGGCACCGCTATTCTCCACCGACAGCGTCACCGCGACCACCTCGATGCCCTTCTCCGACAACGCTTTCGCTGCGGGTTTCGAGACATCGCGGGTGAATGCGCGAATTCGATATGGTTTGTCGGATTCGGTGAGGGCGAGGACAACGCTGCCGCCTTGGGTCCCAGTGGCGCCTACAACAGCGACAAGAGGAGCAGCGGGGTCCGTGGTGATGGTCATGGTCAGGCAATGTGGTGGCTCTGTAGGCTCAGTAAGCTGGCTTCTTATAAAGCAAAATGTCAGACACTAACTTCAATCGAAGACAATACGACGAGTACACGCGTCGATAACGCCGCTGGTGGCGCCCGCGCTTTCCACCCTCCTCGTAATGTGCAATGAGTCGTCCGGGCCGCCTGGGGGGTAGTAGTCGTTTTCACATCGAGGCCGAAGTCGATGATGATGACGCGTTACTCTCTGCCCTCTGCGTAATGCCCGATGAGACTGGATGAGAGAGGGGAAACCGGAACATGTTGGAGAGACGCCCGCAGCTAGCGATAAGTGGGCTGAGTTCGGCTGAGTTGTCTCGTCGTGGTAGTCAGCAAAGGACGGTGTGATCGGGAGGCACGGCGCATCATTTCTTTTTCTGACCACCAACCAACCAGTGGCAAATGCTTTGACACGGTTTTCGGAGTATAAGCCACTGGGGCCTGGGACGGGGAGGACGTGGGATATGGGGAGCAGCGTGGATGGGCTGGTCATTGGCCAAGGTGCGCCAGTATCTTTCCTTCCCGCTCGGACGTTTTCGCTGACATTTGTGCCCGCAGCAGAGCCGCTTGGCCCAGCAATGCCGCCTCATGGTACCTCCAGGCACTCTCCTTGCAGGACATCTCTAAGCCCCACCGACCAGTCACTCGCGCGGCCCGGGCCGTCCCCGCTTGGGCTGGCCCTGAATCCCCTGATGTCGAGCTAGCCTGCTGACTACAAGCTCAAAAAGCGTTCAGTCGACGAAGGACCATGTATCCGCCATCCAGCATTTGCTCAAGCAAAGGAGAGTCGGGCAGGGAGGATAATCAAGGAGGGACTGTCGCGAACAGCGAGAGCCAGCATCGCCCTCGGAGGACCTGAAGCGAGGGTCGAATGCAAGCGGCCATGTCGAGCAAGGTATGCTTCTTACCTTGTTTGCTCAATGCTGACCTCTGCAAAGTTGGAGAGCGACGCCTGTGAAGCTGGGAAGGGAATCGATGGAGAGCGAAATCGCGTGAGTGCTGGTTATTGCCTTCCTAGCTGTTTTCTCCCTCTTAGTAACGTCAGGCTCCCCAATGACGACTCCTTTCCAAACACCCGACGACTCCGAGCAGGCATGCGTTAAATCTGAGAACTAAGTGCTCGGTCGCAACCGGAGGATGAATCGAGGGATGGTACGACGGTCGTAACGAGGGACTAAGATTGTCGTCAGTAACTGGGTCAACAACACGCAGGCATACCTCGTTGATTTTGCGGAGTCCGTAGTGAGATTTATCCCTGACCAAGAAAGGTGCCTGATTATATCTGAAGGATCGGCATAACGCTTCTGCAAGCTTGTCGCTTCTGCAGTTAACCACCACGCGTCATCTCTCCCCCGTGTGTATTCATATCATCTGGTATGGCGGAACGCTAACAAGTCACTCAGCAACGACTCGTCGACTGCCAAGTATGACTATCACAAAGCTTGGGAGGAATTGCCACGCGGCAACCTTCGAATCTTTGCTCAACGAGCATTAATAGCCCTCTACAGTAGAAGTAAAGCGCACAAGAAGCTTCATGCGGGTGAGCATCATCGGGTTCCCATCTAACTACCACTGCATGTTACCAGTCATTTGTCGGAAGCATTACGATATAACCAACGGGAGCCGCGCCGGCACAGCCCATATCTCATGCTTCCTCTTTCCCTCGTCCTCACTCAGGCGGCCGCGCAGCTACCAGGCCCATCATGGCGGGTTCGTGCCTTCTTTTGCTGGTTGTCGTGGCTAATTCCCAACCCACAGAAACCGAGTATCACAACCTCGCTCACGGACCGGATCAGCCTCGCCCAAGGGGCCATCTCGCAAGCTATCTCGCAGCTGGATAGCACGAACTTTATGTTTCCCGATCCAGGTAAGCTGTTCCCTGAGTGCAGAATCCCCTACATCGTTGTACAGCCCACTCTTACCCGCGATCCGGCACGCTCTACTCTCAACTCGCGGAGTTCGACCAGCTCACCAACCAGTCGCGGTACGCTGCTGATCTGGGAGGGTATTATGGCTCAGCGCAGACGGTGCTCGACAACATGGGAATGAAAAACTTCTCGGGCTTCAATGTAGTGAGTTTACTCACGCATCGTTTCTGCGTCGTATTCTGACTTAAAGCTTTTAGCGTCGTTCGTTAACATCAGGTAGAATGACGATAATACTAGGACTTGGTTGATTAGCTCAACGATGGCCTGTGTGTAGTCTCTAGCTTGTTTGCGATATCTGAACTTGCTGTAGGATCTTCGGACATGGGGCCATTATCGCCTACAAAACTTACAATGTCCCTATATTTCTTCAATATGCAGTACAGACGTTGACGAGCCTGCTCGTCACAAGTCACACTTTGTCACCCAGTTTGATTTCCTATTTTAGTTTCCACTTCCTTTTCTAGTTGCTATTTCCTACCTTAGTTTCCATTCCCTATCTTTCCTGACTTTGTTGCTCATTTTCCATTTGATTTTAGTTTCTATTTCATTTAGCCCTTATTTATCTAGTCTATAAAAGCCTGTCCATAGCTAAGTAGTTAGCATCATCCTCAGTGCTTCCCCTCCCAGTCTTTCCCTTCTGAGTTTGAGTTCTCTTTTGAGTTCTTGAGTTCTTGGTGTTGAGTTTCCTGAGGAGTTTGTTAGCTCTGAAGGCACTTGCACACTTAGTCCTTGTTTGTCTTTTGGCAAGCAAGCACGTCATTTTGGAGCCCACCGCGAGGGTCTTCAAAACAGCTTCCGAAACTCCTCACTGTTCACCACACCAACCAAGCCTCCGAACTGTACATTGCGCCGACTACTACAAACTGTACAAATACTCGTCACCTTCCTAAGCCTCAGCCCGACGTCCGCATTTCCCTCCTTCCTGACACAATCTCCGTCGCGGCGCCCAGCACGCTTTCACTCGCCCGCGATACCAGTACCGCTGAGACCCGATCCCGCTGTCGCACTCCGTTGGTCCGTTTGAGGCAATCCAGCTACTGTTTTTCATTTGTCCCGCGCCTATCTCTCCGAAGCGACCCATTTGCGCTACTAAGACAAGCCCGGCCCTGAAACAAAGGCCCACTTGACGACGACACACCTTGGTAACTCCACCACGCCCGCGCGCAGCTGTTTCCGATCCCCTCCAGCGCGGCATCCTCCTCGATTCCGGCACACAATTCCCGCCAGCTGCTACACCCGCGGCCGACGTGAACCGCCACGGCCGTTGGCATCCGAGTCCTAGACTTCCACCCGACCTGCCCCCTACCCTCGCGTTTCCGCCATAGGGTTTGCTACACCAACAAGTCAGTACAGCGACTAGCTGCCAAGAGCACTCACCACCGGCGTTTACCAACTCTTGAGAAACCCCGCCCCGCATCCTCTTGCGTCGTCCGTGCCTGCCCTCCCTGATTCAGCCGCCCGTTGCGGCCCTGTGGCGACTTTTACGCCAGTCTGCCGTTTTTGCCTCACCGGAGCCGCCGTTCGCGTCCCAAACTCGCGCCTCCACCCATAAAGCCCACCGTTGAGGTTGATTTCTGGCCCAGCCATTCGCTACGCGTGCAACAAGTACTCGTCTGCGCTGCCCAGGCTGCCCACTCCGCGCGTCCACCGTGAAAGCCGCCGCCACAGTTGTGTTGCCGTCCCAGCCCTCCAGAGAGCTGTCCTGCGCTGAAGACGAATCAGTACAGCTGTTATTAGGTCCAACAAGCACTCACCGGCGTCGAGTTCGTTCGAAAAACCCCCCCAGCCTTCACATCTCTGCCCCTCTGTGCTGGTTCCGGCCCTCCTTACCTCTCCGCGCCGCCGAGTATTGCCATACCACCCGCCACACACTCGTGTTTCCGTCCTAGGGGTCCCGAGACATCCTCGGTGCCTGAAACAAGTCAGACAAGTCGCCACCCGTCGGAGAGCACGCACCAGCTGTTACTTTCGCCCGAAAACCGGCCCCATACGCCCTCCGTGACCGTGCTTGCCCTTCCTACTCCTCAGCGCCGCACTTGCCGTCCTCCGACTCTTGTACTGCTCCGAACACCGGCCGCCACACCCGCGTTTCGTCCCAGCCGTCCAGAAACGTCATCCGCACCCGCTACAAGTCAGCACAAGCCGCGACGCATTGAGAGCACTCATCGGCATTCACTCGCGCTCCCAAACCCCCCCGCCCTCACATCTCCACCCATTCCAGCCCTCCCGACCTCTTCTGCATCGCCCGTGGCCGCATTCCAGCCCTTTGACTACTCCCCAAGCCTCCCCATCGCGGTATATCGTCGATGGGCCGCGAAAAATCGTGCTTGCTGGCGGCGAGGATGGAAGACGAAAGCAAAATGAAGAGATGTGACCGATGCGTGACGCCGTCCGATACAGCCCGCCCCGGAGCTTGACCGGACCGAAGGCCGAAGCTGCGCAAGCAAACACTCCGCCTCCACATCCCACGACTATCCCCGAGCTGCGCCGGGCGACATGCGATGCTTTAGCAACGGACTCACGCCGCGGCGCTACTCCCCGCTACTAGTACCCCTGATGATGAATTATTCCCGCGACGCGAACTATACCTGCTGAATTGCCAGTGAGAAATATGATTCTCCACCCTGCGCTGCAACCTTCCCTGCATAAGTTTGAGAAACCCGAGCTGCTTACCCTGCGATCCATGAATTACCCACGCTGCTGATTGAACTTCGAACTGAGAGCCCACCCGCGATATTGTTGCCTGCCTGCCACATTCCCCCCGAGACGCTGTTTTGCGCTGCTGAATTGCTCCCGCCACCACCGCCTTCTACACTTTTGACCGCTTGGCGACCCCTTCTGATCCGGATCAACCTTCTGAACTACATTTCCGCTGTTGCCCTGATTCGCAGGCCCATGTTTGCCTGGTCAGGCAGTGGTGTAGTTGCTTTAGGACTTCCTCTTTGGAAAGTTGCCAGACTTGATGAAGTCTATGGACTCTCTCCCCCATTTCTGTTTCACTTTTTCACTTTTCTGATTTATTCCTTGTTAGTGTTCTCTTTCCAGTGAGTGACTGGGGACAGTCACTTTTTGAGTTGAGAGGAGGTGACGAGCCTGCTCGTCACAAGTCACACTTTGTCACCCAGTTTGATTTCCTATTTTAGTTTCCACTTCCTTTTCTAGTTGCTATTTCCTACCTTAGTTTCCATTCCCTATCTTTCCTGACTTTGTTGCTCATTTTCCATTTGATTTTAGTTTCTATTTCATTTAGCCCTTATTTATCTAGTCTATAAAAGCCTGTCCATAGCTAAGTAGTTAGCATCATCCTCAGTGCTTCCCCTCCCAGTCTTTCCCTTCTGAGTTTGAGTTCTCTTTTGAGTTCTTGAGTTCTTGGTGTTGAGTTTCCTGAGGAGTTTGTTAGCTCTGAAGGCACTTGCACACTTAGTCCTTGTTTGTCTTTTGGCAAGCAAGCACGTCAACGTGGTGGGCAGCAGTCCCATACACCCTCACGCAAACAGCCCTTGACATGGGCAAGATTGCATACAAGAATTTTAGCCTGAGCTCTTCATGTCAAAGCAGTATGTGTTTCCCTCCACCACAAACTTACTCTAGCCCACGATTAAAACAGTTAGCATGGCTGGCGGGGTATTTTCGGTATAATTTTTCTATTGTGAATGATGTCTCTGCCTGACGCAGCCTCATAGAACAAGGATGTCAACAATGCTGACATTGTTGTCATTGTGACAGGGTGCGTCGCAGCAGAAACAGTTTTCGAGTTGTTAACCATCAACACTTACACCTGTTACAGCCGTTTCTTCCTGTTTGTCCCTTCCATCCACTGAGGGCCCATCCTCATTTCCCACAGCCTTTCCGCCTTGTTGGCTGAAGCGACCGGCGACCCTGCGTACCTCACTGCGGCTGTCCAGTCCATGTCTTTTATCCGCGCGCACCTCTACAACGCCCAAGGCCTCGTCAAGGATGGGATATCCGCCCGTGCCACCGACAGCTGTGCGCTAGACAATGTCGGCCTATTGGCATACGACTCGGGGCTCATGATAGAGGGCCTGGCGGTGCTGTACTCGGTAACGCAGAACGACACTCACCGCGACATGTTCGTCCTCCGCGTCGTTTCCTTCTCACTTGCCCTGCTGAATGCATCTCATTAGGCTTGACCAGCTCATAACTGCCTCCCTTGAAACAACCGCCTGGCAGAATGAAACGGGCATCATCCAGACAGGCAGTGCGTCTTGGAAAAGTATTTGAAAGTGCTCATGATCCCCTCTCTCAAGGTGGTCACACAGGCGACATGATGATACCTCGCGCGTTAGTGGCCGCATATCTGCGCAATGCAACCAGCCCCTCGTTGAGACCGTCCATCCGCGCATACCTAGCTGTCCAGGTGCGTGTGTGTTTCCTTCCGAACCGAGACCTTCACGGAGCCGCCGTAGTATAATGCCGTACGCGTTGCGGATCTCGCAAAACAGAACGGCAGTGATATTTATGGCGCGTATTGGATTGGACCTGCGGGCAACAAGTTCGACACGGGCCACCAAACTATCGCTATCCAAGCTTTGATAAGCTCCTTTGCGCTTGATGACCCCGCATCGCCGAGCTCAAGTGGCTTCTCCTCACCAGCGCCACCCAGAGCAACCAACTCGATCTCTCCCTCCCCGCCTCCCAAAGCCAAGGCGTCTGTCGGCGCTCTTGTGGGTGCTATTGTAGGCGGAATTATCGCCCTCTGCTTGCTGGGTCTTCTGCTGCTCCGCTGGAGGCGAAAACGGAGAAATATGCGTCAGCTGACAATGCCTTTCCCCAACTCTGCCCTCGATATCAAAAATGCCTCTGCTGGCGATCGGCATTCGCCTTCCCGCCCCGCTGCTCCTAACTCCAAGCGACGTGTTCTGCCCGTTCGCAGAGCTCCCTCGCAGTCCCCAAGTTCCGAGTCCTGGGCGGCACCGCCGCCAACCCCGGCCAGCGGCGAGGCTCGCGCCGACTTGCCAGAATTGAGTCCGTGGCCGTTGCCTGTCAAGCAGCGCAGCATCTCGGTGGTTGCGGTTGGTCGGGGACAGCCGGAGCCGACGACGGAGGAGCTTGTGCGGATGCTCTATAACAGAATGAACGGCGAGAATACCAGCACACCGGAGGAGGCGTTACCGGAGTATCGGTCAGCTTAGAATATTGAAGTTGCTTGTGGGGGTAAGTTACAGTACAACTTCACAAATCTGCACCTCCGGCAGGTATTTGCCCTCGGTAACATTGTCCCGAACAG